GAGAGAGAGAGAGAAAGAGGGTGACGAGGGAGAAGCGGGATGCCCCAATGAGGGGTCGCAGCGACGTGAGTGTGAACCCGGGCGTGGCCATCTTTCGGCCTGATCAATATTGTCAGCTACAGGTGGCCGAGGCTGTCACGCGAATCTTGCTTGAGTCTCAATTTGAGCGCACAGCGCTCATAATTCATCGCGAAACTGCGTTTATTGAACTAATTAAATGTTGAGTGAAAGGGAAAAAGGAGAAAGGCGAAAAAAACGTGCGCAGCAGGAAGATGAATTTATAATGGCATTATAAATTATTATATTACATTTTTATATTTTTATTATATATGACTTTTTCACATTAGAATTCAGCGGGAACGCAAAACAGGAACGTAAAAATACGTCCACTCGATTCACGAGCGTGAAAATCGGTAAATAATTTTTCTACTAATCTTTTTTTTTTTTTAGTACGAGTCGAGAGACGCAGCGAAGATGAATGAATAGCAAACGGATCTTGTAATGAATTAATAAAATGAGTAATACGCGGAAATAAGACGAGAGAGTCGAAAAACATCTGAGGGACATCTGGGACTGAGATCGGTTGATCTGATCGGTGCTATACCGGTTCTCCTCAATACGATCAAACACCTTCGATCGTATTTATGGAAAAGAAAAAAAAAAAACTTTTTCGAGACTGCAAATTACGTATGCATTTAGAAAAGGAATAAGCCGTTACGTAACTATTTCTGGAATTTTCGGTTTTCCAAATCGAACGCGATATTGGATATTGTTGTATCGCGTGGGGAATTATTAACGGGGGGTTGATTTCTCTATTTTGGGAGAGCTCGAGGCCGCTTCGCGGAGTGCGAAGTCGTTAAATAACATGTCCAAGTGTATTCAATTAACGTCACCGCTATTCGCGACTTCAACTAGTACGCCAAGGCCTCTTAGACATTATTATCACATACCACTTGAGCGGCATTACACCTGTTGGCGGTTCGATATTATCGATCGCGATACGTCTCGTGTTCTTTTCCTGCCTGTTCGAATTTATTCAAATATTTCCCAAATGTTTCTATTCATGATTTTTACGATTGCTGCGATTGGAGCCAAGGCAAATATACATATAGAAAATATACGTCGCTTGCAGTTTTAGAAACGCGGCTATTAGATGATTCGTGGAACGCACGGCTTGTCAATCGATTATGTTTCGCCGACGCGTTCGGAACTCTCGAGGGCTCGATGAAAAGCCACTTGACTATGTAATAATAACCTGCGCCAACTATGCAGCGTATGAATGATAAATGCATGCATTATAAAGCATTGAAGCATAGCTGGGATCACGAGCGACACAACGCGCGCGGGATACGATGCCGATTTTCACGCTCGTGAATCGGTAACGAACGTATTTTTATTATTTTTACGTTCTGTTTTGCGTTCACGCTGAATTCTAACGTGAAAAAGTCATGTATAATAAAAAAAAAAAAAAAAAAAAAAAAATAAAAGTAAAAATATAAAAATGTAACAATATAATAATATAATAATTTATAATACCATTATAAATTCATCGTCTTGCTGCGCAAGATTTTTTTCGCCTTTTCCCTTTTCCCTTTCACTCGACAATTTTAATTAGTTCAATAAACGCAGTTTCGCGGTGAATTATTATCGCTGTGCGCTGATAAATTTTACAGGCGAGCAGGTAGAGAACGCGACAGTTGAAAGTCATCAACCGAAAGGCGTAACCGTCACGGTCCACATTAAAATAAAGGGAAAAACGTGGGAGGAGAGGGTGGGAAGGGAAAGAATTAAAAATATGCGGCCGGCGATATTTGCACTCGTTCCCACCGGATGTTCGAGGAAATATGCCTCGCTATCGAGAAATACGATATACGAGTGTATCTCGTATATCGCGAGCAAAGTGAAAAAATATTTCTCTTTAATTCCGAGGAAGCCGTGACGACGGTTTCGCCGGAAAAACACCACTTTCGTTTATTACCCGCGCGAGAAACAATTCGAGGCTGAGATGAGACGATTCCGAACGTCGCGCGAACAATGCGAACAATTTACCGTTGTCAACTTGATGGACAATCGTGCCGTTCACGGCGTCCATGCTCGCCAGCAATCGCCGATCCTCCAGCTTCTCTTTTCTTCCGAAGAAAACCATGATAGCGACATTCAAGAGTACCCGGCGGTCCGAAATACGAAAATCTACCGAGGCAGCGCCCTCGATTTCGACCAAACGCTTTCCCGCGGGTTTATTTATATTTTCACATTCACGTTGTGCTACTTCACGTTTCACACTTTTTGCAAAGCGTAAAAATGTGCGTTATCCCGAGAGTGCAATTCTATCCCTCTTCCAGCGCCGAAAGGAAATTCTCTCGAGAGTTAAAACTTGAGAATCACGAGAGATTCGTCCTGCCGCGCACGAAATACAAACTTGTCACTTGTCACTGTCTTATCGTCGGCGTGTTAATTACGCGGTTAATTCACTGTTTCGACTCAGGACTCGCGGAAGAGGAACGTCTCCGTCGTTGCTTTCCTTACTGCCACTTCACGGTGAATGGAAACACTGTCTTACACCTGCCGGGGCCCCGAGGGCCCTGGTCCGAGGGGACCACAAGCGGCACCCCGCCAAGGTAGTGGGGGCGTCCAAGGAGGCTAGCCCGACGATACCTGTTGACATGACGTCACGTAACTCATGCTGCTCATTACGCCCAGGATTTTTCTCTCTAGGTGATGTATATGTCAATGTTCACTCGGTGTTGTCGATCGGTCAATGTTGCTCGGCGGGAAGATCGCGCGGGAAAGATGAAAGTCGATAGACGCGAAGAGCGAACGGAGGAGATCGGAGAGGCTTCGATCGAGAAATCGTAAGCGCCACTTGGCTGCCGACTGGCTTTCGAGATTCAAAGCTGACTTTTACGAAGGGTCGGGGACGTACATGCAGCCAGAAACAACCCAGCTGGTGGCTGCTGCTGGTCCAGTGGAGGGGGCAGAGAAGAACGCAGAATGGGAAAGAGGACGAGAAAAGTAGAGAAGAGGCGGGAATATCGCCACGCGCTGATTATTCGACGCGATTTTAGGATCTTCTTTCGCGGAGGATTCTTTTGTTGTTCTTTTGTCCCTCTCTAAGACAATACGTATCCTGGGGGATTAGAGTCGTGAATTATTTGTATCTCGCTGAGTCGGCAGAAGTAGAAAGATCGAAGAAACCGAAACCAATTCAATTAGGACTAAGACGATTGCAAGTAAAGTGGTAAATAGATGTTTGAGAAACTTGTCAAGACGACACAACTTTCCACATCTTCTCGACGGTGACTATTAATTTTATCCTGGGAAAAATGTAACGCTTCATTCATTAAATTTATCTCGATTAATAGTACGTCCGGGAAATTGGGTAACAGCAATATGCATCTTCTCGAGCAAAAAGAGAAAACGGAGAGAAGCCAAACAATGAGGTAATCACTAGAAGCACAACAAGAGGAAAGCATTAGCTGGAGAAGATAAGAAAAATGCGTGATGGTGAAATAAATGGCGTAACTCGAAGAGAGAAAATGAGAGAAGAGAGAAGAGAAAGAGGAAAAATGTTGAGACAAAATCGGTGAAAGCGGAACTTTTCTATCGGCAACTTCTGAAAGTAGATTCTACCCAAATGTTATCCCGAAAAAGTGTTTTCGCTATGAGAAGCTAGGAAGCGATCAGTAATCACTTTTCTCGTTCAAGGTTGCTAGTAGTCGTCATCGATTGCGCGAGGTTTTCCATCGTCCGGAGAACACGTGCGTGACGATCGATCAAATCGCAAACCGTGGAACTAACTTTGGGCGGTTCGCCGGTGTTAATAGACTTAGAAACCGGAACGTTTGGATGGATTATATATTGTGATATACGCAGCAGTTGGTGTATTCTTAGTATTCCATTTGCTCGTTCGAAAAACCTCAACGATACGGAGGATTTAATCGGACAATTATCGGACAATAATTGTTAGTAATTGAAAAAAAAAGAGACACGTCGGATACGTCAGAATTTCAACACGCAAAATTCGCAAATCAACGTTCAACGATGCACGATGTTTTATCCCTTCGATTGAATCCCCTGGATTGAAAATTTTCTTTCTTACCCGAGGTGGAGTTCAAATCTTTCTTCTGGATGATCGACGATAGAGCGGAGCAGCCGCACACGTCGTCGATGACGCTTCCCCTCGACTTGCTCCTCCTCATCTCGGCTGAGGACTTCCCTCGGTGATCCCGAGCGGCATCACGTCTACCCCGGTCGATCGCTCGGGTCCTCCTCGACGATCACGAGACCGGCCATTACGACGGTTCCTCGTGGACCGCTCTCCGATCCCGCAGGATCGGCGTCATCGCGTTCGCCGCGCTCCTCGTCGGAGGTTCCACGTGCTGCCGCGCGCCGTCGGCTTCCCGTCGGCGAGTCCGCGACGGCTCGCACAATTGTCGGCCGGGCGACGAACAGACGGACGGACGGACGAACGAACGGACGGATGGACAAATGGACGATCGCGGCTGTTACGCGATTGGAACGGATTAGGATCTATTCATAGATCGAAGCGCCCTAGTCCAAG